CATTAGGTTGGTGTTTTATAAATAGGACTATCTTCAATAGAGTATTCATGATATCTATTATTAGTAGGTATATTAGCATTGTTATTATTAGTAAAAGTAGGTGTTGATGGCAAGTTATTATTTGAAGTATTGAAGAACGTTTGATTTACAAATGGTGATGAAATACTTGCACTGTTAGAAATTGTTGGTGGTTTAATGATAGAATTTGATAATATAGGTTGTTGAATTGTAGGTTGAATTGTTGTTGAATTATTATGATTACTTAGTATATTAGGTTGTTGAGATTGTTGTTGAGTAGATTTTCTTAGTGTATTATGTTCCCTTAGAGGTCTTCTTTTAATAAGACTAGGTTGTGGAGGTGATGATTCACCCATAGAGTTAGTATGATGATTAACACTTCCAATGAATGATGTTGTTGTTGGTGTTGGTTGTTGTGGTGCTGTTGTTGAATTTTGATAATTTCCAATACTAATACCAACAGGAGGGAATTGATGATGAATATTACTGTTAGTAGCACTATTACTGTTGTGGTTCATTGTTGTTGTGGTTGAAAGTTATGATACTGTGGAACGGAACCACCCAGGCTTGAGTTGTTTGCACTATTGTTGGGTGGTGGAGGTGGTTGATTTTGCATGTTTTTTTAAAGGCTGTTAAAATTGAATAAAAGGCTTGGTTCATAATTTTGGCGGTAAAAAAAACAGCTCTTCCTTAATTATAAGTTTTAGAGAGGTACAGCCTGACTGTAAATTTAAAATAATAGTATATAACTTTTATACCTCCAGCTGATTCTGTGCAGCACCATTTCTATTAATATCATTCATTACCTCTCTTTAGAGATTTAAACAATTATTTTTACTTAGTAAAATATATTAAATAATTATTATTTATATAAACAAAACCTCAATAATTATTGTTGTTTATTCTTTTCTTGTAAAAACTTTTTAACAGAAAAATATTCCAAATGTTCTTGTTCTAAAAAGTGAATATCCTTTTCAGGAGCACACATAACAAGTGAATGTAAAGGTTCACCCCAATCTAATTCTCTCAATTCCTTTAAAGAACCATAAACAACTTGTTGATCTTTAGCACCAACACGTGCCAAACCAACACACATTGTATTTTCATTGTAAACATTTTCCTTTCTCAATTCTTCAATTTCTAATAATTCATCAATAGCTTGATTAACAGTCATAAAACGAGGTGGCATATATTTCTTTAAAGAAGGTCTAATTAAAGTTTCTTCTGTTGGTTCTTTAACTTTAATATCTAATAAACATAAAGTATGAAGTCCATTTTCTCTATTCTTTTTAACTTTATCATAGAATGAATCTGGTTTCCATGTTTCAGTAAAGAAACAAATTGAAACTGTAATACCAAATTGATATAA